TGTACCATATTAACCCGCGGCTATAATTTCCGCCTGCATTCTTCATTCAGATAATTAATCAAACCCGTTATGTTTGATGTATTTTAGTATCGTTCTATCGATGCATTCCTGTTGGTTACCTTCCACCTTATGCCTAGGGATCTAACATCTCTGTTCTTGTGTTGATTACCTTATTACGTCCTTGCCTCAGGAGAATTCTGGGCCACGAAAARCTTTGTAAAGAAAAAGAAAAACGCGCGCACGCGCATACTCATTACTTAGAATAAACCTATCATATCAGTTTGTTTTAACCCGTGTTTATATTCCCCTAGTAATCGTATCCTGTTAGCGCAGAGTTTATCGAATGTTCGGCAGCACGTAYCCTTTACTGTGACTGCACTTATTAACATGAAACAACCAGATAACTTAAGTTCAAATATAAGTTATTCATTCACCATTCCTAAAATTCTCGAGTTAAGCTTAGTTTACTTCTACTTTCCCTTTAGGATCTATTACCTTGCTTCAAGATATGAACGGGGTTTTTTTGTTATAACTCTTTTTTGGCACATAACTCTCCTCTTTTCGGAATAACTCTAGCTATTTAGTAGTCTCTATTTTTTTTATTTTTATTTATTTATTTTTTATGTCTTTAAGAATGAATCTCAGGATGAATGTTATATAAATTATATAATATTCGCTTTATTCTCTTGTTTGACACGATACTAGATGTTTTATATTATTATCAAAAACTAAAGAACAAAGTAGTACATTTTGCTGTCAGGAAGGTAATTTACAACTAATTTAGCTGATTCACAAAAAAACTCATTGATAAACAGCTATAAAATGGAAGGTTATCGGAGCGATAGATCATTACAAGATAGAGAGGAGTTATGGGCATACATCTAAACACGTTCCTGACGAGAACAATTATGAGAAATACAAGTCATTCTTCCAGCTAATCTTGCATCTTAGTATGACCTGTCTTCTATCGCTTATCGCTAAATGCCTACTGCCTATGAACCTTTGGCTACGACTTTGGAATATGCATACAATATAGAATTTAAGACGGAACACTGGTTGGTTTTACCTGAGTATAATTACAATCGCTCAATTACCGCCAGGCTGTAGGTTTTCATCGGTTATCTTCATGGTAGGCAAGTGTGGAGAATATATAATCTTTTTAAAGACTCCCAGGTTATCTTAGATATCAATACGCTTATCATTACTATACATGGTCACATGAACTTAAAATGAGCCAACTTAGATAACAAGCCAGACAACACGAGGGTGCCAATTTAAATTACTGGAACGACGTCACATTGTCTGATTGACTGATTAATATAGATTACCAAAAAATTAGACTTGAATATAGTTTCGCGCGCATTGATTGGTCGAGCGACCAGGTAATTATAAGGTTATGCGGCGAAGTTTACACGAGCGGAAGTAATACAAAAACGTTTTTTATCCTAAATTTCCTCTTTTCTCTGATATTCAAACTATGCTAAAAACAACTATTCGTCTCAGGTATTATCATTGATGTTCCGGAACGCAAAAGTGTTGATTAGAGCTACTGATCTAGGCTAGGGAAAACAGGTTGACGTGAGGGAAGTATGATACTGATGATCACAACCAGATACACGCGAACACGCTCGGTAATGATACTATCAGAAGAAAACTACTGGCTGTTTTTTTTTTTTTTTTTTTTTTTTTTAATTTTATGTTCAATGTAAAGATTAGCTTGAGGAAGTACGATGTCGAGATTAAAACTGATAAAGCAACTTCATTATTATCATAGCAACATTGTAACCATAATACTCATATCATATTCATATTATATCATAACAAATATATTCTATATACCATTATAGCCGTCGCTGACGAGACAAACTAACTAGCAAGTCAGGAAGCGAGTTAGGAAGCGAGTTAGGAAGCGAGTTAGGAAGCGAGTTAGGAAGCGAGTTAGGAAGCGAGTTAGGAAGCGAGTTAGGAAGCGAGTTAGGAAGCGAATTAGGAAATCATACATTCTAGCCAAGATTGTCTTAAGGTGACTAGCTACTTTATCAAG